AACTCAAGATCATGGAGGGATTCGTCAATGAAGAGCCCATGTTTACGTTGTATCTACCGGGCTATGTTGAAGACATGGTCACCGAGTTCGTGGTCGAGCGAGTCGAGTCCGAGGATCCACCTTCATTCGGCAACGTGTTCATGGACGAGGAAGTGGCTCACATCGAGATTGATGCCAAAGGAGCCGAAGTGGTCGAAGTCGAGGAAGAGATCTTTGTCGTGGTCGAGGAGGGACATGACGAGACGCGTAAAAAGAACAATGCGGATGAAGGGAACGCGATGTTCCAACTGGAGGTCGATGTCGAGAGTAAGGGCATGGTCAAGTCGATGAGGACCGTGAGTACGATACGCGTAAGGGAATTGAGATCGAAGAAGATGTGCCCGAGGTTTGGATGGTCGAGGACGAGTCCTTGAGGACAAGGACATTCTAAAAGGGGGCGGGAATGATGCGTATGTGGGTTTTGACCCCCGACAACGAGAAGGCCAAGAGCCATGACGACCTGATGAGGCCAGAAAAAAGGGCCAAAACGACACACGCATGGCGCGTATGCGGACGGGCTTGGATCGAAGAGTTCGCATAGGCCTAGTAAAGACGGGCCTAGCAAGCATGGGCCTCAAGGCTAGCAGCGGGTCGAGAACACCGCGCGAGCAAGCGCGCGGAGGAGTGCGCGGACGAAATGCACGAGCGCACGAGGCAAACCTTGTAAGCCATGGGTCGACCACACGAGGGTCGACTAAGGCAAGGAGATCGAGCACGAATCTTAAGAAATCGACGCGCGAAAGGTCAACGTACTAGAGGTTGCGAGGAAAGCTGACACGCGAGAGGACGATGCACGCGAGAGACAGACGCGCATAGCGCTTGGAGGTTAGGCGAAGTGGCGCGCAGGGGGTGGTTGTTGGGTGGTTGATGCGCGCGAGGGATTGTTGTGGTGGGACAAGCGAGCAATGGGCGCTGGGCAAGGCAGCGCTGGATGATAGCGCGCATGGGCGCACGATAGGTGAGCAGAGCGTAGGGGCACCGGGCGACATGTGGGAGGTACAAGTTAAGACTGGGGTGACAAGCCTAATCCTCATAGGAATAGGCAAGGCGCGAATACTAAACCCCGCAGGGCTAGGAAAAGCAGTTGAGCGCTGGTACTCACGTGAAAGGTCGGCGACGGAAGTAATCCTCGGAGAAACAGGCAACGCAGCTGGGAGTGGATTCCTAGTAAGAATAGGCAAAGCCGAGGCGTACTCAAGAAGATTCCTTGGCAGGTTAGGGCTAGGCGACGAGTGGAAGGGGCGCGCGCGTTACCGCGCAGGATGAGGAATAGGCATAGCGGGCGGCGCGCATGGGCACGTGGTTAGGGTTGGGCTGCTGACCAGAGCATCAAGCAAGTGGATTGGAGTGCAAGCAAAGTAATCAGGAGTTATAGTATTATTAGGATTTTATGGTAGTAGAGGATGTTAGGAGATTTAGTTTCCTTAGGATTTATATTCTTGCATGGTTTAGGAGTTCTAATTAGTATAGGCTTAGATTTATTTTGCACCTATAAATACCCCATGTACTCTTCATTATTTACAAGTCTTGGAGTTAATGGAAAAGCGTTCGTAAGAGCAAAACCGTGTGTTTAGAATTCGTGAGAGTTTTATCATGCAACCGAGAGAGCGAGGCTAAGACCCGAGTGATCTCTAAATCGTGAGAAGATAAGGCTAATAACCGAGTCGTCCACATCTATCGTTGAGAGCGAGCCATGGCAAAGCTAGTTCGAGGCAACGAGTTGAGCAGAACACAATATCCTTCATCACGCGCCCAGCACGCACACAGGCCGCCCAGTGCACGCGCAGGCAGCCCGGCACGCTGTAACGCCCCGCACTACCTAACCTGCGCAGACTCGGGCCATTCCGCGCGCACGCCGACATAGAGCACGCACGCACGCACGGAGAGTGCGCACGCACCCAGCAAGCGCGCGCACGGGCCTGTCTGACCTTTTGAAGAATTAGGCTGCAACACACCTAAGTATTGTACATAGATGCCTTAGTAGAGGCTTACTTTGTCTAGGAGTTCTAGAAGGTCCTAGAGTTGTATAGATACATGTAGTAGGGACTTGATGAGCCTAGAGCCTTGTAGAGTTGTGTAGAAGGATCTAGGACTTGTGTGTATGAAGTAGGATTTTTGGGAAGGGTCTAGAACTCTCAAGACCCTTGAAGGACCTAGAAGGTTCCTTAGAGGAGGTGGTGCCTATAAATAGGAGAGGACCCCTCATTTGCAAAGCATCCAAGCAACAACCAAGCTCTCTTGTACAAAGTTTGAGTGAATAATAGTACAAGCTTTCCTTACAATCTCTCTTACATATCTTTGCCATATTCTCTAGCCAAGTACTAGCACACACCGAGCACGATCCAAGCACGGGTGAGGCTAACTTAGCTGGCTGCGAAGGGAGCACAAGGGGCTAAGGCCGCACGCTACCAAGGTTCGGAGAAACAAGGGCGTGACAAGTGGTATCAGAGCCACGCTCGGTACCGTGTAAAGTATGGCCGGAGATAAGGAGCAAGACGCATCTGGGTCGGCAGTGATCGAGGAGCAAACCCGAGGGCGGGAGCAGACCACCACGACCAAGGACAAGAAGCGGCGAGACCAAAGCCGAGCTCGCGCCGAGGTCTCCTCTCTAGAGACAACCGTCGGAGAGATGGGCGAGAGGCTCGAAAGGGTCGAGTACACCTTCAAGACATTGGAGACGTTCATCTTGGAGGAGTTCGAGTCCGTCAAAGACACCATCAATGATGGGCTCGATGGGCGTAGCGCCATAGAAAATCGCTTGGATCACTTGGAGGATCTTATGAAGGCAGTCCACGAGCGCATCGAGGGGATGCATGAGGACATCACCGTATGCAAGAAGGCGATTGCTAGTGTGGAAACTAACAGCACCACGCCACCACCAAGGGTGAAGTGTCCCGAGCCAATAGGTTACAATGGTGTGAGGGACGCCAAAGAAGTTGAAAACTTCCTGTGGAGAATGCAACAATACTTCGAGGGCATCAACCTTACCGACGAGGCAACCAAGGTAGAGGTTGTTTCCTTTTACCTTTCCGATACTGCTATGTTATGGTGGCGCCGGAAGCACAGCGACATTGAACAAGGAACATGCTAGATAGACACTTGGGATGACTTTGTCAAGGAGCTCAAGCGACATTCTATCCGGAGAACGTAGTGTATGAGGCTCGACGCAAGTTAAGGGAATTGAAGCAAAAGGGCTCTATAAGAGACTATGTCAAAGACTTCACTACCCTCTTGCTTCAGATCCCTAACATGATTGAGGATGACTCGCTGTTCTTTTCCGTGGACGGGCTTCAACACTGGGCGAAGCAAGAGCTACAACACCGGGGCGTCAAAACTGTCGACGACGCTATTGCCGCTGCGGAGTCCCTCATCGAGTTTCGCCCATCATCATCTTCCGATGCCACCAAAAAGGACAAGAAGTACCCTGCTAAAGGTGGGGGCGACAAAAAGGAGAACAAGGTCCGAGACCACCGACGTGCAACTGACAAGGAGGATCGCAACGCGGGACGTCTACGAGGAGAATAAGCAAGCATTCATTCTGAAAGGGGGCTGATTTGTGTGCAAGGGTCCACATGCCATGAAGGACTACCCGAAGCTAGGTTCTCTATCCGCAATCGTGGAACAACACTAGTCCGAGAAGAAGGAAGAAGAACCAATGGTGATGGGGTCACTGCAGGTCCTAAATGCCCTCAAAGCCAGAACCGAGTGCACCACGACTAGCAAGGGGCTTATGTACGTGGAGGCACAAGTTAACGGGAAGCCAACGAAGGCCCTGGTGGACACAGGAGCTAGTCATAATTTCATCACCAAGGAGGAAGCCACAAGGTTAGGTCTATCTTGGACCGAAAAAGCCGGATGGTTAAGACGGTCAATGTTAATGCTCGTCGACTAGAGGGAGCCGCGAGCAATGTGGAGTTACGCTTGGGACATGGCAGAGACGCGTGAATTTTTCAGTCGCACCTATGGACGACTTTAAAGTGGTACTCGGCATGGACTTCCTGCGACAGGTAACAGCGATCCCTATGCCTTCCTTTAGTACCGTTTGCATCTTAGAAAAGTGTTCCCCGTGCATGGTGCCAACAATAGAAGGAGACAGCGGGAGTCCCAGCAAACAACTCTCCGCAATGAAACTTGCCAAGGGGGCAAAACGAGGTGAACCCACATACGTAGCTGTGCTAAAGGAAGACAACTCTGAAGGGAATTCCCCAAAGGTACCACATCATTCGAGGAGTCCTTAAGGAGAACAAGGACGTTATGCCAGCAGAGCTACCGAGCAAGCTACACCCAGGCGAGGGGTGGATCACAAGATTTAACTAGAACTGGGCACCAAGCCGCCTGCCATGGCCCCATACCGTATGTCACCACCCCAGCTTGAGGAATTAAGAAGGCAACTTAAGGAGATCGTGGAGATAGGGAAGATCCGACCGAGCAAGGCACCATATGGCGCGCCCATACTTTTTAAAAAGAAACATGACGGGACACTACGCATGTGCGTAGACTATCGGACGCTCAACAAGGTAACAATTAAGAATCGCTATCCCATCCCTTTGATTGCTGATTTATTTGATCAACTTGGAGGAGCCCGAGTGCATACCAAGATGGATTTACAAAAGGGTTACTACCAAGTCCGTATCACCGAAGGGGATGAACCCAAGACCACGTGCATCATGAGGTATGGGTCATACGAATGGTTAGTAATTCCCTTTGGGCTCACTAACGCCCCAACTATATTTTGCACGCTCATGAACGAGATCTTTCATCCATACTTGGATCGGTTCGTAGTGGTTTACTTGGATGACATCGTTGTCTATAGCAATACGCTTGAGGAGCATGCCGACCACCTACGTACTGTATTCAAGGTACTTCGAGACAATGAGCTTTACGTAAAGGAGTCCAAATGCATTTTCACCCAAGAAGAAGTAAACTTCTTAAGAAATATCATTGGCCATGGACGAATCAGAATGGACGGGGCAAAGGTGAAGGCGATCATGGAGTGGCAAGCGCCAACAAAGGTAACCGAATTACGATCCTTCTTAGGGCTGGTCAACTATTATCGCCGATTCATACAGGGCTATTCGACAAGGGCAGTACCTCTCACTGACCTGCTTAAGAAGGGTAAGCCGTGGGTATGGTCCGACGAGTGCGAACGAGCCTTTGACGACCTCAAGGTCGCAGTGAGCCAGGAGTCTGTCTTAGCATTACCTGACTTCACCAAACCCTTCGAGGTTCATACAGATGCCTCAGACTTTGCTATTGGGGGAGTACTAATGAAAGAGCGACACGCTATAGCGTTCGACAGTCGGAAGCTGAATGACACCGAGCGACGCTACACGGTGCAAGAGAAGGAGATGACAACCATCATCCACTGCTTAAGGGTATGGCGTCACTATTTGCTAGGGGCACATTTTAGCATAAAGACAGACAACGTGGCCACCAGCTATTTCCAAACCCAAAAGAAGCTTTCCCCAAAGCAAGCCCGATGGAAAGATTTTCTAGCAGAGTTCGACTACTCGTTGGTGTACAAGCCGGGCAAAGAAAACGTAGTGGCAGATGCATTAAGCTGAAAGGCTGAACTTGCCGCCATCAGCAAAGCTGACGAGGACGTGCTCTCCCGTGTCCGAGAAGGGCTCGAAGGGGACCCCGTAGCCAAGGCCCTAATAGGCCTTGCTAAGGAAGGGAAAACCCAACGTTTTTGGGTAGAGGACGGTATTCTCTACACAAAAGGAAGACGTTTGTAAGTGCCAAAATGGAACAGCATAAGGCGAGACCTCCTGAAGGAATGCCATGACACCAAGTGGGCAGGACACCCAGGCCAACGGAGGACAGTGGCGTTGCTCGAGACCAACTATTTTTGGCCCCAGCTCAAGGACGATGTGGAGACATATGTCAGAACTTGTCTTGTTTGCCAACAGGATAAGATCGAGAACAGGCACCCGGCAGGACTGTTAGAGCCACTACCGATACCCGCAGGACCATGGGACTCTATCACATTAGACTTTATTAGCTCGTTGCCACAGTCCGAGGGATATGGATCAATCATGGTCGTCGTAGACCGATTTTCGAAGTATGGGATATTCATTCTGTGCTCCAAAGATTGTACTGCCGAAGAAGCTGCCCGTGGATTTTTCAAGAACGTAGGTTAAGCATTGGGGGCTATCCAGGAGCATCATCAGTGACCGGGACCCGAGGTTCACAGGACGACTTTGGACCGAACTTTTCTAACTTCTGGCGACCGAGCTCAATTTCTCAACAAGCTTTCACCCCCAAACAGACGGGCAAACTGAGAGGGTCAATGCACTTCTCGAATGCTATTTGAGGCACTTCGTAAGTGCAAATCAATGGGACTGGGCCAAATTACTCGATGTGGCCCAGTTTTCCTATAATTTGCAGAGGAGTGAATCGACTGGGCAAAGCCCATTTGAAGTGGTCACGGGGTGACAACCACTAACACCGCACATAATCTCCCTACCTACCAAGGAAGGTAGGAGTCCCGGGGCCGAAAAGATGGTCAAGACTTGGGAAGAACAAGCTGACTTAGCGCGATCATACTTGGAAAGGGCCCGCAGGAGAATAAAGAAGTGGGCCGACAAAAAGAGAAGGCCAAGAGAGTTCTCCAAAGGAGACTTAGTGCTTGTGAAGTTGTTGCCCCAACAGTTCAAAAACTTTCGAAGCTTGTACAAGGGACTGATAAGAAAATACGAGGGACCGTACCCGGTGATCAAGAAAATTGGTTAACGTAGCATATTGGGTCGACTTACCTCCATTCCTTAAAATCCATCCCGTCTTCCACGTAAGTATGTTGAAGCCTTATAAAGGTTACGTGGAAGACCGAAGCCGAGGGTTATCATCGAGGGCACCGCCAATCACCACCAAGTCGTTCGACAAGGAAGTGGAAGTGGTGCTCACATCCGACATAGTCAGGCGACAAGAGGTACCACCAAAAACACGATACTTAATCTAGTGGAAGGGACTCCCCGATTCAGAAACCTCTTGGGAGTTTGAGGAACACTTATGGCAATTCAAGGATACCATCAAACGATACAAGGCGACGGGGACGCCGCCAAAACAGGTGGGGGAGAATGTAACGCCCCGCACTACCTGACCCACGCAGACTCGGGTCATCCCGTGGGCACGCTAGCAAGAGCACGCACGCACGGAGAACGCGCACGCACTCAGCAAGCGCGCGCACGGGGCTGTCTGACCTTTTGAAGAATTAGGCTGCAACACACCTAAGTATTGTACATAGATGCCTTAGTAGAGGCTTACTTTTGTCTAGGAGCTTCTAGAAGGCCCTAGAGTTGTATAGATACATGTAGTAGGGACTTGATGAGCCTAGAGCCTTGTAGAGTTGTGTAAAAGGATCTAGGACTTGTGTGTATGAAGTAGGATTTTTGGGAAGGGTCTAGAACTCTCAAGACCCTTGAAGGACCTAGAAGGTTCCTTAGAGGAGGTGGTGCCTATAAATAAGAGAGGACCCCTTATTTGCAAAGCATCCAAGCAACAACCAAGCTCTCTTGTACAAAGTTTGAGTGAATAATAGTACAAGCTTTCCTTACAATCTCTCTTACATATCTTTGCCATATTCTCTAGCCAAGTACTAGCACACACCGAGCACGATCCGAGCACGAGTGAGGCTGACTTAGCTAGCTGTGAAGAGCGCACAAGGGGCTAAGGCCGCACGCTACCAAGGTTCAGATAAACAAGGGCGTGATAGCGCGCCCAGCAGTGCTGATACGGAAGTGGTTGTTGAGGCTGAAGGTTGGTCGGGAATGGTCGATGGTAGAACGGGCGAAAAGCGCGCATCGGGCGGTGATGCGCGAGAGCGGGTGGTCAGCACGCGGACAGCGTTGGGTTTACGCGGGTGTACGGCAGGTAAGCGGAGCGCGGGCGTTGGCAGGACGCGCTGGGCGTCACGCGGAAAGAAGACAGAGCGCGCTGGGCGCGCGATTGGGAAGGACGCGGGCGCAAGCCTCGACCGAGAAGGCATAGGAATGCGGGGCGATAGCACGCACGCGCGAGAGGGAGTCCGCGGCCAGAAGGCGCACGCGAAAGAGGACGCGTGGAGTTCGGGCGCTCGAAACCTAAGGCGTGAAGGACTAGGCGAGCGAGCGGCATGCGAGGCACGCGCGCGGGTTGCCGCGCGCGACAAGGAATAGGCAACGCAGGTCGGCGCGCGCGCTAAGGCGGTTAGGGTTTGGGCGTGCGCGCAATAAGGCGGCCGAAATACTTGGGGCGTGTGATTTGGAATTGTTTGGAGTGCAAGCCAAGCAAGATCAAGATCTAGTCAATTAGGACTCTAGGGTTTGGGCGATCACACCTATCGTCGAGAGCAAGGCCGTGGCGAAGCCGTGATCGAGACAAGTTGAGGGTAACGGAACACAAGATCCTTCATCATTGGTGCTTTCGTTGAGAGTGATTGATTGTGTGTTCGTTAACTTTTTCTACCCCATTCTTTTTCTTTTTTGTTCGAATTTTTGGTTTCTTTTTGTTCGAATTTTTCGAATTTTATTCCCTAATTTTCGAAAAATTTCGTGAGTATAAAAAAAAAGTGTCATCTAGTCCTTTGTTTGATTTTTTTCGGTTATTACCTTTTGTTGAGGGGCCGAATTTCTTTTCTTTTATTTTTTGGTTCGACTTTTGTTCGAATTATTTTTATAGAGTCTTAAAAAAAAGAGAGAGTCATGACGAATCGTGAGAGATTCGATGCCACTTGAAGAAAGCGTGAGGTCCCTTGGTAACGGACAATACGTGGTCAATGAAAATATGGCAAAGTTGGAGCTTATGATACACGACTTGGCGGGACAGCTCGAGAGAGTCAACCACCATACGCGGAAGAGCCGCACATCAAGATCAACCTTGGCGGGAACGGGCAGTTCGACGTCTAGTCGCGATGACGACGACGAACGGTTGCAGGGAACGCGCGCGACACGCACTACCCGACACCACTGTGATTGCAGGACGCACGGCCATCGGCATCATCGTGAGGAGCACGTACGTGCGAGGCCGAAGATCACGATGCCGACGTTCGAAGGACCAGATCCGGATGCATGGTTAAGTCGTGCCGTGTAATTTTTCAAGATCAGTGAGGTACACAAATCCGAAAGAGTCCAAATTACTGCCTACTACTTGGATGGAGAAGCCAACACATGGTGGCAATGGGTGTCACATGTTTACAAGAACAAAGGCGAGCAAATCAGATGGCGAGATTTCGAGAAGGAGCTCATCGCCAGGTTTGGATCTAGCGAATACTTTGATTACGATGAGGCTCTGACAAGGATACGTCAAACCGGTAGTCTATGCGATTATCAGAAGGAGTTTGAGAGGATTGCAAGTCGGGTTCGGGATTGGCCCGAAAAGGCACTAGTAGCTGTGTTTGTAGGAGGCTTAAAGGCTGAGTTGGCTGCGGAGGCACGTTTGGACAGGCCAAGGTCGACAAGGGCTGCCATGGAAGCAGCGCGACTGCACGAGGATCATCTCGCGGCAGTGCGCAGGGCCAGACTGAGCGAGGGGTGCACGGACGTTCGGTGCGAGCGTCGCGGTCGACGTTATGCCCCCACGGGCTGAGATCAAACCAACAGTCGGCAAAGGTACACGCACCATGAGCAACTACCGACGGCAGAAGGATGATGAAATACAAAGGCGAAGAGAAAAAGGCTTGTGCTTTACTTGCAACAAGAAATTTGTGCCAGGCCACAAGTCCAAAGGTAAGAAAATTCTTCTGTTGGAAATTGAGGAGGAACGAGAGGAAGTAAAGCCACAGGAAGAATCCTGGTTGCATATGGTTAAGTGCAATAAGCGTGGTCCTAGGATGATCAGATTCACGGCTGAGATAAAGGATATGTTGCTAGAGGTACTGGTGGATAGCGGGTCGAGTTTAAATTTTATTGACGAAGGGATAGCCCGAAAGCTGAAATTGGTACCCACAAAAGTTAAGAAGTTTGGTGTCAAGGTGGCCAATGGACATGAGCTGCAAGGTAGTCAGTTATTCAAGAAGGTCCCGATAATGGCACAGGATCACGAGCTGGAAATTGATCTTTACGCCTTACCGCTTAAAGCAACATATATTGTGTTAGGAGTACAGTGGCTCGAAACACTTGGGCCCATTACGACCGACTACAAGCGAGGAAAGATGGAATTTGGGAGGCCAAGGAAGCGCATTAAGTTGACAACTGAGGATCGAGGCGATTCGCCTATTAAAGAAGATAGTGATGTGGACGTGCTGAACTTTCTCATCCTTGGGGACAAGGAACGTCTTGAAGAGGAGGGGAATGATACGGAAGTGGTCGTTGAGGCCGAAGGTTGGTCGGGAATGGTCGATGGTCGAACGGGCGAAAAGCGCGCATCGGGCGATGATG